AAATTATTTGCTCCCCTGCTGATTTTGTACATTTGCCCACTGACAAAGAAATGATCAGTCTATAATTTTAATGGTAGATTTATTTTAACAATTAGAATAACAAAAAATGCAGAAAATTGTATTTCAAAAAAGTTATAAATTGCTTTGCATTTTAATGAGGAAAATAAGTATTTGACCCCTTCACAAAATAAGACTTAGTAGTTGGCAAAACTCTTGTTACCAATCAAAGAGGTCAGACGTTTCTTGTACTTGACCACCAGGTTTGTACACATCTCAGGAGGGATTTTGTCCCACTGCTGTTTGCAGATCCTCTCCAAGTCATTAAGGTTTCGAGACTGACATTTGGCAGCTCAAACCTTCAGCACCCTCCACAGATTTTCTATGGGATTAAGGTCTGGAGACTGCTAGGCCACTCCAGCACCTTAATGTGCTTCTTCTTGAGCCACTCCTTTGTTGCTTTGGCCATGTGTTTTGGGTCATTGTCCTGCTGGAATACCCATCCACAACCCATTTTCAACACCTTGGCTGAGGGAAGGAGGTTCTCATCCAAGATTTGATGGTACATAGCCCAGTCCATCGTTCCTCTGATGCAGTAAAGTTGTCCTGTTGCCTTAGCAGAAAAATACCCACAAAGCATAATGTTTCCACCTCCATGTTTGATGGTGGGGATGGTGTTTTTGGGGTCACAGGCAGCATTCCTCCTCCTCCTAACAGAGTGAGTTGAGTTGAAGCCAAAGAGCTCGATTTTGGTTTCATCTGACCACAACACTTTCACCGAGTTCTCCTCTGAATCATTCAGATGTTCATTGGCAAACTTCAGACGGGCCTGTACATGTGCTTTCTTGAGCAGGGGGACCTTGCAGGTGCTACAGGATTTCAGTCTTTCATGGCGTAGTGTGTTACCAATTGTTTTCTTGGTGACAACTGGGGTCCTGGCCAAAATGCCAAGGAACCTCAAACCACAGAATTAAGAAAGGTTTATACATCTTTACTAAAACAGAAGATGAGATAAGGTGGGATATATAAAAAAATATCTAATTAAACATTTTCATTCCAATGAAAAAATGTACAAAAGAGATGGTTTGCATCCATCAAAGAAAGGGACTGAGTTACTCGGCTATAAATTCACAGATTTTCTGGAGGAATATTTAAACTAAACAGTGGGAACAGTGAGGTAATTGATAAAGAACATCCCTGTCCCCAGCAATCTAAAAATTATAGGGCTATCAGTGCATGTAACATAGATGTATGTATGGACAAGAATATCAACCTTGCTGTCAAGCAAAATCAAGCTTTTAATAGTGAGTGCCACACAAAGTGCACAAACCAAATAGGTGGTAAGACAATAGGGGAACTCAGGCACCACGCAGGTTATGTAGAAAGTAAACACAGGGTCAGTCATAAAGGACTTAAATGTTTATACACCAATGCACAGGGTATGAACAGCAAACAGGATGAACTAGAAATTCAGGTTAATGAGGGCAAATATGATATTGTTGCCATTACGTAAACATGGTGGGGTGAAACCCACAAATGGAACACACAGCTAGAGGGATTTAAATTATTTAAAAGAAACAGACCAAATAAAAGAGGAGTGGAGTTGCTCTCTATATAAGAAATAACTACATCTCTACAGAAATAGAGCACAACAATGATGAAAACTGTCTTGAATGCATTTGGGTCAATATAAAAGGGGGGAAAATGACAATGCCATAGGTGTATACTATAGGCCATCCAACCAAACAGAGGAAATAGATGAACTTTTTGCTAGTCAGCTATCTAAGGTATGTAGGAAGCACATCACAATAGTAATGGGGGACTTTAACTACCCTGACATCAACTGGGAAACAAACTCTGCACCAAGTGGAAGATCAAACAGATTCCTGACAAACCTAGCAGACAACTTTTGTCTCCCAAAAAGTAGAGAAGGGAACTTAGGGGATTAGCCATTTTGGATCTAATGCTCACTAACAGAGATGAAATGATAGAAGGTGTTGAAGCTATAGGAACCTTGGGAGAAGTGATCATGCAATATTGGAATTCAACATTATGGAAGCACAAACAATAGAACTAGAGTCAAACTAGAGTCTTGGACTTCAAGAGAGCTAATTTCAATAAACTTAGAGAGGGCTTGGGAAGGATTCCATGGATGAGAATCTCGAAGGGAAAACAACTCAAGAGGCTTGGGAAATTTTGAAAAGTGAGATAATAAAAGCCCAGTCAAGCACAATACCAACAAAGAGGAAAAATAACAGCTCTCAAAAGAAATCAGCATGGCTGCATAAAGAACTCTCTGATAAACTGAAAAATAAAAAGGACAAGTATAGAAAGTGGAAAGAGGGACACATAACTAAGTCAGAATATCAGCAAATAGCCCGAGCCTGCAAAGATGAAGTGAGGAAAGCTAAGGCACAAAATGAACTAAGGCTTGAGACCAAAGTTAAAAATAATAAAAAAAAGCTTCTTTCAACATGTAAAAAAGAAAAAAGTGAAGGAAATGATTGGCCCATTAGTTGGTGAAAGTGGCAAGAAGGTGACAAGCAACAGGGAGAAAGCAGAACTATTTAACTTGTTTTTCGCATCTGTCTTTACACAAAGGGAAAAAACAGACCAACCTATCAAAAATAGTGCCATAAAAACAGTATAGAAACACAAGTTAAGCTAGGCAAGAAAATGGTAAGTGTCCAGCCTAGACGAGTTCAAATCACCAGGACCAGATGGATTACGCCCCAAGGTTCTCAAGAAACTGGCAGATGTGATCTCAGAACCACTGAACTATATTTTTCAAAGATCCTGGAGCACTGGGGAACTATCAGAGGACTAGAAAAGAGCTGATATAGTTCTCATCTTCAAAAATGAAAAAAAAATGGATCTAGGAAATTACAGACCCATCAGCCTGACCTCAATACCTGGGAAGATTCTGGAAAAGATAATCAAACAATGAATCAGCAAACACCTAGAGGCAAACAAAGTCATTACTAAAAGCCAACATGAGTTTGTCAAAAACAAATCATGCCAGACAAATCTTATTGCATTCTTTGACCAAGTGAGAAAATTAGTGGACCAGAGGAATGCTGTGGATATAATTTACTTGGACATCAGTAAGGCATTTGATAAAGTAGATCACAACGTACTACTTGACAAGATAGAAAAATGTGGGGTAAACAGCATCACCACCAGATGGATCCGTAGCTGGCTGACCGGCCGCACTCAGCGTATGGTCCTCAATGGAACCACATCTACATGGAGGGAAGTGTGTAGTGTGGTGCCCCAGGGCTGTTCTGGGCCCAGTGCTCTTCAACATCTTCATCAATGATTTGGATGAGGGGATAGATGGGAACTCATCAAATTTGCAGACCAGACCAAGCTGGCAGGAATAGCGAACACTCCAGAAGACAGACTTAGGATACAGGAGGATGTGGAGAGACTTGAACATGGGGTGCTATCTAACAAAATGAAATTCAATGGTGAAAAAAGTAAGGTTCTACATTTAGGCAAGAAAAACCAAATGTACAGGTATAGTACTTGCTCAACAGTAGTAACTGTGAGAGGGATCTCAGAGTCCTAGTGGACAATCATTTAAATATGAGCCAACAGTGTGCTGCAGCTGCCAAAAAAGTCAACACAGTGCTAGGCTGCATTAACAGAAGGATAGAATCAAGATCACGTGCAGTATTAATACCACTTTACAATGCCTTGATAAGGCCACACTTGGAATACTACATCCAGTTTTGGTCACCATGATGATGTAAAAAAGATGTTGAGACTCTAGAAGGAATACAGAGAAGAACAACAAAGATGATCAGGGGACTGGAGGCTAAAACATACAAGAAATGGTTGCTGAAATTGGGTACGTCTAGTTTGGCGAACAGAAGGATGAGGGGGGACAGGATAGCAGTGTTCCAATATCTCAGGGGCTGCCACAAAGAAGAGGGAGTCAAGCTATTTTCCAAAGCACCTGAAGGCAGGACAAGAAGCAACAGATGGAAACTAATCAAGGAGAGAAGCAACCTAGAACTAAGGAGAAACTTCCTGACAGTTAGAACAATTAACCAGTGGAACAACCTGCCTCCAGAAGTGGTGAATGCTTCAACACTGGAAGTTTTTAAGAAGAGACTGGACAGCCATTTGTTTGAAATGGTATAGGATTACCTGCCTGAGCAGGGGGTTGGACTTGATGACCTCAAAGATCCCTTCCAACTTTATTATTATTAGTAGTAGTAGTAGTATTAGTATTAGTATTATAGTAATGATCTAAAATTATTCTATTGGTCTAGCCATCCCTATTCTCAAGCCTTGGCTAATGAATGCTTCAGGAGTTATTTAGAACTCATTTTATTTGCTCCAGGCCATCTCTATTCCTAACTTCTAGATGAACTATGCAAGATGCCTAACTCTTTGTTAGTTTTATCACCTTTCTAACCACTCAGAATTATTACAAGCTTTACTATATTCCCTGTGAATAATCATTCTTCTTGCCAGACAAACTCCACAATTACAGGCTTCCTAGTCTCCTTTCAAATATATGTCATAACCTTGCTTTGTTTTAGCAGACAGCTCATCATTCTGTGGATTAACTTTTAGTTCCTGTGATTTTCTGCTACTATGAAAGACTGGCCAAGGAGGATGGGAACTGTAGTAGTATGCAGCTGGAGAAGGCATCAAGATTGTCATACACAATTAGGTAAGCAATCATTTATAAACCAGACTGAAGTGTATTTTCTCTAAAAGTTACTGCAGGGGCTTCTAAGCCTTTCAGAGTTAGGTTTAGTAGTAGGAATACTCCCCATCAGTCCTTTTTTTCTTTAAAAAAAAAAAAAGATGCCGGAACTCACACAGGTCATACAACCCGCCTTGCCTACTCTACAAGGTTCCACCCAAAAAAGGTGCCAGAACTCCGTTCTGGAGGTTCTATGAGAAAAAAAGCACTGCTCCCCATTCCCTAATACCAGGAGCAACATCAAATCCCGTTTTGAATGGTGACTTCTGTCAAGGCTGACCTTGTTTTAACATCGCTTCATTGACAAGTTCATCCCAGAATAACAAATCAGGGCAGCTGGGGTTCATCTTTCACGGTTTCCTCCTTTGGAAACAAAGCATCAAAAGAAAGTTAAAGTGCGGTCCATTTTTAAAGCCCACCTTCTCTTGCTTGAAGTACAAACTCACCCGAGGAGGCGGGGAGGTTCTCCTCGTTGCCCGGAAGCACCCCCCGGAGAAGCCAAACGCCGGCACCGGACAGGCAGCAAAACAAGCCTGGACAAGTCAGAGGTCGTCAGGGAGTGCCGCTGCTTCGCTTCCTGCTTCTCCTGATGGGCGAGTTCAGCCCTCGACAGCGCAGCAATACGCCTCTCTGGGGAAGAGTGTCAGCCCGGCCCTCTCCGATCCGCTGGCCGCCGAGGCAGCGCTGAACTACCCCGGGCCGGAACGCGGGAGGGATCAGTCGCGGAGGCAGGTCCGCGGTGATAAGGACAACATCCTTCTCCTGCTTCCATTGCCTCCGTTCGGTTTAACGCAGAGAAACCGGTCATGATGCTTCGTGAAATCTGAGGCTTATTCGCGTTTTATTACACGTCCAGAAAGCGAAGAGGAAACTTTTTAAGTACCGTGGAGTCAGTGCGAGCGGGATATACCCGATGTCCGCGAACGTTTTTCTGATTTATGTAACGGATATGCACTTTTATCCTGTGTAATTTTGTGGGCAAGTTAATAAAGAAATAGCCACTACCAATATCCTGACTCTGTAAACCGCTTAGAGAGGGCTGTAAAGCACTGTGAAGCGGTATATAAGTCTAAGTGCTATTGCTAATGCTGTACTGGGGTTTCTGCAGGCAGCAGTCGTCGCTTCTGTCCTTATGCAGCAAAATCCGCGTTCTATTGCGTAGATACGGCTCCAAACCCTCGAGAAGGGCTGCCTTTCGCTATTCCGTATCCACCTCAGCATCTCCAGCCGCCGCCGCCTGCGAAGTAGTAACGGAGCTGAACAAGTTCCTTTCCTTTGAACCAACGAGAGGGAAGAGGCAGAAGGCCTTCTCGGCAATATTCCAGCCAATGGGGAAGGCCGGAAGGGGTTTCGTCCAATGGGAAAGTGCTGGAGGTTGGCTCGGAGCCACGTGTAGGAAGCATTTGCCGGAGTAGCTGAGGTAGCATGGCGGCCCCCGGTCCGAAAAAAAGACAGCAAAGGCAGCGCGGCGCTTCTGCTTCGGCCGCGGCAGCTGGGCGCAAGAGGCGAAAGGTCGGTGCAGGGAAATGGGAGGGGAGGAGTCAGGCGAACGAATGAAGGGGAGCGAAGCGGTCATGGAAGAGAAGGAAAGTAGTGAAAGCAACAAGAGTTGTAACAGAATTTCAGGAAAAGAAAATACTAGTTCTGTTTCTAAGGAGTGAATGTCAGAAAGTGTAATGCGTGCTTGTTGATTTGAAAAAAAAGGCTAGAATGAAAATAGGATTGTATTATGAAGTAATTTGGACAAATTTGAAGTTGAGGTGCTATAAAAATATATAGCATGATTAGCAAATGCATCCACTTCTGCTACCTATGATCAGTGCTCTGCTAATGGGGAGGATTGTATTAATCAGAATGGACACATTTGAGCCTGTTTGTTCCTGCTTGTCTAGCTTTTCAATAACTGAGTGAAGGCATTTATTTAATCAGATTTATTTAATTAGGTTTGATCTAAAATAAGTTTTTTACTCCCAGGTCCCTGCTGGCGAAGAAAGAGCATGGCAGAAAGTTGGCTCCAAGTTGAATGAAGAGATCTCTAGTGATTCTGAACCAGATGTGTAAGATATGCCAAACTGCCTTGGTATTTTTTTTTCTCTAATTAGGAAGATCATGTCATAAACATTAAGAATTTGCATAGGAATTTCCTATGGAGATGGTTGCATGAAGCTGATAATAAGAGAAACGCTCTATGAGACCTCATGATAATATAACAAGTGGTGGATTCCTGAAGTATAGTTCTTTGTGGCATCTAATGACTCCAAAAGTCTGTACTTTAGGAATACCATGAATATAACATTGAATAAGGTAGCACAAATTTGCATTAGGGATTGGGACAAAGTACTGAAGTATTTTCTTTGAGGGAATTGGACAGTAATTTTCTCTTGTTGATGGATAATTGTTGAGGTGATATAAAGTATTTCTGTGTAAATTGTTTCTTTTCCATTTGTAGCCCAGCAAATAAAAATGAAGCAGAAGAAGAAATTGAGGAGACACCACAAGAGAAGAAACTGAGATTAGCGAAACTATATTTGGAGCAGCTTCGCCAACAAGGTGAGGAGAAGCTAGATATGATTTAATTGGACTGTTAAACAATCAGATTAAAATTCTTAGTATATGAAATGAAACCAGTCTTTCTATCTATGTACCTAATTATCTGTTAAATTTATATAGCCTATCATGACTTTGGGCAACTTACAAAGTTAAAAAAATAAAACAAATCAATAAAAATAACCTCCAAAACAATATAATTAAAAACAGTAAGATTATTAAAAACATAATTGGTAGAAGAGCATAATTCATTTTCCTAAATGTGCAAATTATTAGCAAGTTCTCCACAAATGTCACCAGATTCCCAGGCCAAGTGGCAAAGCCATATCTTCAAAACGCCAGATTGATCATGGCTAATCTTACCTCTGAGGAGAGGATGTTCAAAAAGATGGGAACTTCAGCAGAAAAGACTCTTCTCCTGGCCCCATCACGTGACTTTGAACCCACCATATGACCTTTCTAATGGGATGGATAGGTATGATTGGGTTGGGGTGGTCCCTCAAATACCCCAGCCCCATGCCATGTAGGGCTTTGTAAGCCCTCATCTGCACCTTGACACAAATTGGTAGCTAATGCAGTTTACGGAGCAGAAGTGTAACTTGCACTGCTGTAGATGTATGCATAGCTCCCGACGCCTCTGCATTTTATACCGTTGAAGCTTCCAGATGCGGTTCAAGGGCACATCCTTATAGACTGCATTATAGGTAAATGATTTAGATGAGGGAATAGAAGGAGAACTCATCAAATTTGCAAACAACACTAAGCTGGCAGGGATAGCCAAGATCCAGATTTTGTTGGATAGGGCCCAGTGATCAAGTTACTCAGGATCCAGATGAATCTTGAGAGACTTGATCATTGGGCCCTATCCAACAAAATGAAATTCAGTGTAGAGAATGGTTGCGGGAATTGGGTATAGCAAGTCTAGTGAAAAGAAGGACTAGTGGGTGACATCATATCAGTGTTCCAATATTTGAGGGGCTGCCACAAAGAATAGAAGGTCAACCTATTTTCCAAAGCACCAGAAGGCAAGACAAGAAATGATGGCAACTAATCAAGGAGAGAATCAACCTAGAACTAAGGAGAAATTTCCTAACACTGAGGTCAATTAACCAGTGGAACAGCTTGCCTTAGGAAGTTGAGGGTGCTCCATCACTGGAAGTCTTTAAGAAAAGACTAGACAGCAACTTGTCTGAAATGCTATAGGGTCTCATGCTTGAGCAGGGGGTTGTACTAGAAGACCTCCAAGATCCTGTCCAACTCTTGTTATTAGGGCATGAGCATTGGGACTCCTGGTCCAGAAACAACTGGCACACAACATGAAATTGGATAAAAGTCAACCTATCTAAGATTGCCACTTGCTCTTTTGAGCAGGAATTGTGAGTACAAAAGGACTTCCAGATGGTACATTGAGTTTGCCTGGGGCAATGTCACCCATCCAGAATTAAAGATGGTAAATTTCCAGATCCTTATAGTCCCAAGACCTGAAACCACTCAGTTTTGCCAGGGTTAAATTGAGTCTGTTTTTCCCCTATATATAATTAATAGTAGATTAATTATAATAGCTACTTAGCCTGTTATGAACTTTTATTTGCTTATTTAACTTTTCAACTGTTTGAAAAGTTCAGTCTCAACAAAGATGGCTGGGAATTTATCTTGAGAAGTGTGGAGATTTTAAAAATCTATCCTTTGTGTAAAGAAGGCATATAAATAGTTTCCCTAAATTTATGAACTAGGAAATTTAATACATGTTTTTAAACCAATTTCTCAACTGTTTTAGAAGATGATTTAACTTATTAGAGATACCAAAATACTTTTTGATGAAAATCCCTCATCCTACTGGGTAACTATTGGTTTTGGTCATTCGTTTTACTTATGGATATTCAGGATTTGAAATTTATTTCAGATTATATTTTTTGGTTAAGTAAACATAGCAATGTCTGATTTTTCCCTCTGGCAGAAGAAGAAAAGGCTGAACAAGAGGCTTTTGAGAAAGACCTGGTTGCTGGCCGATTAAAGGAAGATGTGGTGAGTAGGACATGAGGTAGTAGACTGGAAAGAAATTGGTGCCTCTACCCAGTGCTTTTTTTGTAAAAAAAAAAAAAAAAAAAAAAAAAAGGTGCCGGAACTCATACACGTCATACAACCTGCCTTGCCTACCCTACAAGGTTTACCTTTGTAGTTGAAAAAAAAACCCTTCAATTTTTAGTGTATGTAAAAGACTAGGATTTTGTTCAAGGTAAGTTAATACTGTTAATGTTACCATGCACTGTGTGGCTTTAAATTACAAGAAGGAATTTTAAATTAATCTGTTGGGATATTTACCATTGGCGTGCCCATTTAGTTTAATGAGTGGAAATGTCAGCTTTCTATGTGGAATGAAATTGGCCCAATAAAACAAAATTTGGTTGCTTGTAAAAGATTGAATTATTTTTAAGAAGTTGTCTTCAAAAGTTGACTTGAAACAAATTAAAGTTGAAACTTTGTCAGTGAACAGATTACTTTTAATTTACCTTTAAATTAAACCCAATTTAAAAAATAGATCTGATTAAACCTCATACTGTAGGTCTACTTTTACATCTGACCAATACATAATTAATATATATTATTATTAATTATAATAATGCCCCCAAATCACAAGACATTGGCTTTATTCTTATTCTTCTCCTCTGCAGTTTGAATATAAAGTATAAAAGACTAAAAAGAGATTTTCGTAGACATCCCAGCCTTTGAACTACCCAAGGAACTGAAACAGCAAAATTTCTCTGTTGGGCAAGTCTCCATGCCAGCTGCCTTTCTTTCCTCTCGCTTTGCCTCTTTTTAACCTCACATACAGGTGGTGACCTTCTGTAAGGGAAGGCAAAAGGCTCACTCACCCTCTTGTGAAAGTTGGCCTCCATGTTTATGTGTCTCCCACTGCCACCATCGACTTCCACACCACATGGTCCAACCCAGCCAATCAAGCCACGCTCTGGCTGTGGTGCTCCGGCGCCTCATGGCTCCTCCTAGAGGAGGCAGACAGCGCCGGAGGGGACCCCACTCGCACTGTACCACCAGCGGGGCATTTTCAAAAGCAAACGAGGATAGGAAGGGCAACAATAGGAAAAAAAACGCAACTCTGGAAAATCCATTGAAAAAAGGTGTTGGAATTCCGTTCCGGTGCCTTCTATGACAAAAAAAGCTCTGCCTCTATCTATCCTGAATTGGGCATTAGAAAGCTTAAAAGAGCCGCACCTTCCTCATGAAGTAAATGGTATCTTCTCACTGGAAAGTAGTGGAATTCATTGCTTTCCATGCTTCAGGCCTTGCTAGGCTCAATTCTAGTGGAATGTGGATATAGAGAAAGAGATTAATAATATGCAAAACACAAGCATGCCTGTTTGTTTAACCTTGGTCCATGTTTAAGTGGCAAAAAGAGTATCTGTGAGGGCTTTTAGATATAAAG